GCCATTTCTGACTTTTGTTCGCTAAGGAGCATAAATTTACACGAGTACTCAGGCTATTGAGATGAGTTGCAGCAATTTTCAGGAAAATTTCATCCCTGTAAATAACAGATAACAGTATATCCAGGGCTGTCCAGGTAGTATTCTGTAACTGACTTCAGCAGCTAAAAAGAATATGTATTTGGTTTTCTTGAACTTTCTTTATGCTTTTCATTTGCTTGTCATTTGTAAATCAGTACTTAAGTTAAAAATCTCAAGATGAAAACTACATTCTCATGATTTTTCATCTTTGTATAAGCCAGATCCAGCCTTAAGCACAGTTATGTTTAACGTTGCCTGTTATGCATGTTAATAAGTAGGAGGTAGAACGCTACTATGAAAATGCTAAATAAAACCTTTATAAAGGGTACATACAGATTCAAATTAATCTCCCAAGGTTTGTACTGTAAACACATTAATTGTTCACTGTGTTACAACTTCAATATTTTTTCTAAGAGTTAAATACCGCTTGAATCTATAAAATTACACTAGAACTCACTGGTTAATGTGAACTTCAAAGTCAGTGAATATGATTTAAATTGTGACATTAGATACCAGTGAAAATTTATGCTTACAGAGTATGTTGATGGCAGATTATCTTTGTCAAAACCGCAGACGCACCAGTGTTTTTATTCTGTTATTTGGTGCGACCTTCACACTTTGTGAAATAGTAGCTTTCTATCTTATGTACACAAGTATGTCCATAAACAATAAATGATGTATTGTAGTGTTTTGTGCATGCATTTCTGTATTTCAGTGTCCAGTCCATGTTCTCATTTAACAGTGTTTTCTTTAATCTGATATTACTAATCTCTATAATTCATTACATGTTTATAAGTTTAATTTACTGGCCAGTTTGATTGTATATTCTTGTCTTTGAACAAACAGGATGGAAACAATTGACATTCATTGCATAGCATTTAATGTTTCAGCAGCTTTGACACCTCACCGCATAGCGAAGTGTCAGCAGCTTTCTGATCGCTTGCTGAATAACGATTAGCACGTCAGCAGCTTTCTGACCGCTTGCTGCATAGCGTTTAGTACATCAGCAGCTTTCTGACTGCTTATTGCATAGAGATCAGCATGTCGGCAGCTTTCTGACTGCTTACTGCATAGCGATTAGCATGTCGGCAGCTTTCTGACCACTTCTGCATAGAGATTAGCATGTCAGCAGCTTTCTGACTGTTTACTGCACATCGTTTAGCACGTTGGCAGCTTTCTGACTGCTTACGGCACATCGTTTAGCATGTCAGCAGCTTTCTGACTGCTTACTGTATAGAGATCAGCATGTCAGCAGCTTTTTGACTGCTTACTGCACATCGTTTAGCATGTCAGCAGCTTTTTGATTGCTTACTGCACATCGTTTAGCATGTCAGCAGCTTTCTGACCACTTCTGCATAGAGATTAGCATGTCAGGAGCCTTCTGACTGATTACTGCACATCGTTTAGCATGTCAGCAGCTTTCTGACCACTTCTGCATAGTGGTTAGCACATCTACAGCTTTCTGACTGATTACTGCAATCTTGAAATTCAAATTTATGACATTCAATGGAAGTGATTTACAGTTGTTTACAAAACTAAGTTGGTATGCATATACAGATTGTTGATAATAAACTTACACATGCATCTTACACATGTGCTTTATTGGAGAGCATCTTCTATTTGTTTCTGATCTGGCACTTTTGTCTTTTCAATGTCTGAAAACTGGAAACCTCAAAACTGAAAATCTCTTGCTTGCTTTTACCAACAATTCATATTGAAATGATTTTGTATCGTCTTGCTTCTCCAACATAAACTTGACTACAAACGCATTTTTTTTTAGTGTATATGATGTCTTTACTTTTACCCCTCTTTACTTTGCCAAGAGGTATCCCTGCATCAACCAAAGTACAAAATCTTAACATTGTTATATATTTTCAGGTATCCACTGCTTATGCTGAAGAAAGAAACAAGGATTCTTCCAGGTTTTCTGAAATTCCAGGATTCACTGATCTCCAGCAACTTGAACAAAATGAATGGGAAGAAGAATCTAAGCGGAAAGCGAACAAAAAGAAGAAAAACCGAATGCAGAAAGTTGACCCTGGAATACTGGGATTTAGCGTAAATGCTGCTCTAGATCGAGTAAATGTTGGAGAAATTGAACCAACGGATTAAATAATTTTCATAATTTGGGTGTTCAAGTGATGCATTTTGTCTCTTTACACAAGGTGCTGGATGGTTACACAAACAAGGAGTGTAATGCATCAGAATTGTGATCATAATGTGCATATCTATGAACTCCTTCCTGCAAAAGACTATAAATGTCATATCGATGACTGTAAATCCTGTATCGATAAAAATTAATAAAATGCAGTGATGCTGTAAGTTATTTCTGGCCCCTTTTTTTTTTTTAAAAAATATTGGTAATGAACTTATCAAGCTGTTGGTAAATATAATAATTGTACCCTTTCTGCACTGCCACGATATAAATGTGCATCATAATTATGTACCATAAGTAAAAAAATTATTGGTATTATTGAATATTGTGACAATATTTTGACTTGCATGGGTACTGCTGATGTACCCTTCACCCTTTGAGCACCAAAGTCGACTTTTATCAACTTTAAAATTTTGACCAGAATATTATGGTGCACATAGGGTTAGCCTTCTCCGTATCCCATTACGCAGTGACTGCCGACCATTTTTACACGGGTATATTGCCCCATGGACATTCTACCCAGTTATTGATTTCCATACAAACTAAAAAAACAATGCTTGGACAGTGCAGGTTTGTAGTTGCCCAACATGGTACCTCTTGCAATTGCGTTACTGGGAAAAAAAAAAGCTTCCAGTTTTGCAATAAGTGGCAAGTGAGTATTAATGGTGTCCTGAATGTTTGCAGCTTGTTAACTTTAAATAAAAGTTTGTATGATATGGAGTGGTTGATTGGAAGTTCAGTGGAATTCAAAATGTGCGTATTACATTCATTTTCATGCTGTTCATTGAAGACTGGAGCAGCAATTATCAGTATTTGCAAAACAAACATTTTTTTTAGATGTTTGTGGTTTGATTTCTAGTCATTTTGTCTTACTGTAGATGGCGGAAAATAAAACCTATGAAAACTTACAAAAAAATTGTTGCATATACTGGCATCTGTACAGAGACTTGAAAATAAATTTAAATATATAAAAAAAAAAAAAAACTACTGCAGTCTTAGTGTTTTTGTACAAGAGTTGGTAGCATTGTTTACCCAAACTCCTTGTAAGTCTGTCCCCAGCAAAATCTTTGTGTAATTTGTTGTGTACATCATTACGCCAGACTTGACCGAATTTGAAAAACAAGGATTTGTAGGTTCGCGTTATGATCAGTCAATCTCATTCGTGTATGGCCTTGCATTTTCATACGTGGTGCATCTGTTGAGATTCCATCAAAATTTGGAACTGGATCTTGTTGATGTATGGTCAGTTCATTGCACGTCATTTTACAAATTCAGAATGACTGTCTGGTGACAGTTGTAACAATGAAAGGCCTCTTTTGCAGTTAAACTTTACGTATACATCATGTTTAAAATGGCCAACTCGTATCTGTTGCAGTACAAATGTCTTATGATCAAGGCTTGTACATTTAAAACTAGATTTCAGCCTTCAGTGATTTGATTTTTAGCTTCTGTGTGTGCAACACAAGGGAGACTAGTTTGGTTTGCAGATCTGCGAATTATTAAAAAAATGTATTTAGTGCGTAGGTAACGTGTGGTAATATGCAGACATGACTAGTTTTGGCGCCATGTCTGTGCATATTAAGTAGCTAATTTGCATATTTATTTCAACCCACGTAAACAAAAACTTTTGATCAAATTTGCTATATATTGGTGCTGAAAATCTGCAGGCTTGATGTTCGCCTTATCACGTACCATTGCTCCTCCACTGATTGTGGGGAATTTTAATTTTCTTGATATATTTTTTAATAAAAATAATGACTGCATATGTTCTGTTTCACAGGGGAGCTTTGGTACAAAACTAAGATTACCCAAAGCCTTCAACCTGCCAGGTCTTGTTACTGTGAAATACTTAATTTTAGCTGAAAAGGCTTTTTGGCCGTTTTGTATGGAATTTATTTTTACTGATTTATGACGAGTTTAATATGAAATATAGGAAAAAAAGTATAAGTTGTGTATGATCAAGTTTTGGTCAAATAACTTTCTAATCGGCCTGGAATCTATACATCTTTCTAGTATAACGCATACATTGGTTGAATTTGCTTATTACCAGTGGAAATTTGAGTACCATTTCAGGTAAGTAAATGCTAGTTATTCATTGGTGAGTCTACTAATAGGGCACGCGTTTCACACGGAAAGTCTTGTAGATTCAAGGCAACTTGCTAACAGTCTTGATTGTAATTGTACTGCAATGTTTACATGGGATGTGTATTCCATGGGCAAAGTGCTGTATAATAAATTGTGTACATAAGATAGGTACTCTGGATTGACAATGTTACAAATTTGGCATTCAACAGCTTATGCTGCTGCCTACTTTTAGTTACAGAGTCATTTTAAGAAAAATGATTTGGAGAAAATCATTTTAATTTTGTAGCAAATGAAATATCAAATTGGACTCTATCACTGTCTATTTCTTGTTCTAATAATGCCATATTATAAAAATTAACAACTTGAAGAAAGTGTCTTAGAGAAAGTCACATCTTGCATGCTTGACATAGTTTTTGGGTTGTACACTTTTGATAATGCCCTGAAGGTGGCCATACAAAGTGAACCTTTAAGTGAAGACTGTTATTTCACTCATTCTATCAGTCATAGTTAACAATGCAGGAACACAGATTCCAGTAATTCAAAAGAAGGCTTGCATAATGTGTCCAGTACTTCAGTCAATAACCTCTTTGGGGAGGGGGGGGGGGGGTAGCAGCAGTTGCCTTGAATAAAACTCTGCTCTGTTTCTTGGTCGTCTATGCCTGGAATACAGTCCCAAGGTTTGCCCTCAGTGATGGATACAAAATCTTTTTAGTGATGCAAGTAGTCTAAGAAACCGGCTACTAGAGTGACAGACTGCTCCAGTGTCCACCATGGCAATATCATCCCATACATATTCGTATTGGGATCTGGCAATATTAAATGCTAATTGTTGGAAGTGTGTAATTGGAAGATTGTTGGACTCATGATGAGCTCCTTTTGTCTGTAATGATGGGTACCCCAGTAGCCATATCGACTTTGCTCCCAGAAGTTCATTCCTTGCATATGTATATTATAGGGTTCTGGTTGATGTATCGCATATAAGCCCACATCCATCATTGTCTCTCCCTACAGGGTGAATAGGCAGTTCGCCAGGCCCTGGGAGACCAGTCACTCAAGTACAGTCCTTCCACAATGTCACATCAGCTGCACTGTCTCTTTACCCTGTAAAGTGAGGAGCTTCTCACTCGTCCCATTCTTGCTGTACCAGTGCAAAATCAACAGTTGCTCCCTAGTTTGTGACTATTGTTGAGTTGTCACAGCGAACTAAAACCTTTTTCTGAACCTCGCCCAGGAATTGTACCAACTCCCTCCAGAAGGCTGACATCTCCTGTTTGTTTATGTGATGTCTCGCTTCCTATGGATGCCACTCTCCCCAACTTTCAAGTCTATGAGGTGCGTTCCCCATCCCACTTTCGAAGTGTCCATAACCATTTGAGGTGATGGATCCATCCGGATCTCCACTGTATGTTTACTAAGTCTGTTCATCACTTGAGGGCGATTAGGCTTTTCGTGGTCCATGGTATTTGCTACATAAGGGATGACCTCTGTTGGACTTGTATTACTAGCACCTGAATTAGACCATACTCATCAGGCTACTTGGGGGGGGGGGGGATTCCCCACATAGATGTAGTCATTCCCACACAATTCATTAGTGTGCTTAGCATCACTTATTCAGGAGCAGAGAGCTATGATCGTGATGTACCTTGCAATCGATCAATGAGCTGTAAGCGAGAAAGAAAGGCCAGCGAATTATCACAAGAATTCAAAAGGGTGGCCAGAAGGACAGGAGGCACCATAATTTAGAAAGAGAGGGAGGTGCCGAGATGTTGCAGCCTTGCAAGAGAAGGAAGGTTAGGAGGAGTTGTAAACCAGGGAGGGAGGGGGAGAGAGAGGCTGTAAACTCCAGTGAAGTTGGAAAGCTGAGAGAGAATGTCCGGAGCTGTCATTAGGTGGAATGGGTGGTAAACAAGAAGTAAATAAGGAATATGGGATGGGAAACCATGACAAATTGAGGAAGGAAGACCAGTAAACCATTGAAGATGGCAGATGAGTTGTATGGGAAGGGTCGTAAGAAAGGTGAACAGTTTAAAATGACTGTAAAGAACAGAGGAAAGCTGGAAAGAGCCATGATCGAGAGGGAGGCATTATGAGCATCATCAAGAAAGGGAGGCTGGTAAACTAGCAGTGAAGACGTTAGGAGTCGTATATAATAGTCTGGAAGCTACTTCCCAAAAGCCTTCTAAAAACGGTTTTAGCTGCACCCCACGTCAAACATTGTGGAAACAGACTTTTCTTATGCAAAATTATCTGACATTGTAAAATTGTCTGTTTCCAGGGCGGAAAATGCCCTAAAAGTGGTGAAAATTGACATGTTGCTATGGCAACCTGACAATATTATGAAATCATTAAAAGATCTATATTTTCAATACATATGAAGATATAGGAGTAAAGTTGGTACCAAAATGTAGATCGTGGATTGGTCCAATTATTTATGACATCATATATGATAATTATCTATTTTGCATATTCATAAATGCAAAGAAAATTATATATATTGCGTGATTGTTTTTTCAGGAAGATACACAACACTATTTGCCCAATTAAATTATTTATGGCATCATATATGCTAATTTGCATATTACTTAAATAGCATTGCTATTAAGTTAACCATGTACAAGCATATATCTTATCAGAAATAGATAACTAGGGACATTTTAACAACAATGCGATTGATACAATTTTTCGTTTTGGGAAAAGTTGTTTCTTTAACCAAACAAGGTATATATTTCAGTGCAATATTTTAACCACACATTTGGATATTTAATGTCCAACAGGATTGATAATCTCCAAATCGTTGGGTTCTTTTACATGTCCAAATACGAGACGAGATATTCATGGGATCTTGGGTTCATGACTTACAACATACTAATTCTCAATTATCTTGGTCCCATTGATACTAAACATTTTATAAACAGTTGTTCATTACGCAAAATGGTTCAGAAACATTCGATTGTCACTTTCAGTTTAGAGTGTGATCACGATTATGGCATTTACATCCCTGGTAAATAATAAAATAAAATCATGTTTGTTACCAGGGATCCAAGTGCCATTCATATGATTACAGTCTAAGCTGAAAGTGATTGTAGACCATTATGCGAGGTATGGGTCATGCTAACTTTGCACCAGCTAACACATGGTCAGTTTGGCTTTCAACTATCAAAGTAAAATCCATTTGCGAAGATTCCAGAGGATCAATCTATTGAGGAAACAATAAACAAGAGGAGCAAAATACCAGGAGGAATTCTTGGAAAAAGCAGAGATCAAGATGCAGTTGGGAGATGGATTGAAATAACAGCTGACCGCTCACAGATAACTGAAAACATCAGAAGATATGCTGGTATATCAGATGAATGCAAGTGGCTCTACAAAGAGGCAGGACACTCCCGGATAAAAAAAAAGATGAGAAAGATATGAGACGGGTAGTCAAGGTCCTTGCCAGCATGTTGAATCCATTTTCTGAATCAGAGAAGTTAACTTCAATTTCAACAGGGGCAGCAGCAAAAGATAAAACGAGTAGTTCTATTGACTACTCAACTGATTGGTGATCACATTTGTGAAGAGTTTGTGAAATGTCGATTGATCAAAGCTGAATCATCAGAGTCTGCTGAAGCATCAATTTTTGAAACGCTATCGAAACAGAAGCTTCAAACATTCTCAACACAAACAGCTGAACGTAAAATTAAAGTTGTGGGACAAAATTAATCATCAAGGCAGAGCATTCATTTTTCTGTAAATTGGTGTTTCTCACAAGATCTCACAAGTTAGGTCCAACTCATGGGAAATAGCGAAATCTTATGGCACACGCTCTACAGATCACAAAAGTCTAAACTTTTGGAGGATCTCGAGATAGGTATCCCAGTCTTTAGATGCCCAGACAACGTGGCCCTGGTGATTGACAATTTTGCCACTATCCAAAAGCTCAAACCTAAACCAAACAAAACGAAGCCAACAACCTTCACTGAAGTGGCCCAATCTGTGCTCTCTTCTGCATGTAAAGCCAAAGCTCCACAACCTGCAAGAATTGATCTTGTGATTGATAACTACATTCCAGTCTCCACTAAGAATACAGAACGTGAGAGAAGGAGCAAAGTGACAGGGATAAGGTATATAATCACCTGTGGATCTCAGAAGGCACCCGAAGACTGGGGCAATTTTTATGTCAAACAGTGAGAACAAACAGAATCTTCCTGAATTCCTGGTGAATGACTGATCGAAGAATAGTGATGCAAGTATTCTGATATCATTAAAGAAACATCTTTGTTTGTTTGTCATGGTAAAGAATGCCACAGATTGAAAGTACATGAAGACTCGATACTCAAAGATGCTGTTCCTTCTCTGACATACTTTGCTGGAAAGGCTGCCACAAGACCTACTGACCAAATGTAAAAAGAGCCTGTGTTGCATTTATAACGAGT